TAATTTTATATCATGTTTATAATTTACTTGTCACAGTACTTTAGTGATATAAAATCCTAAATCAGATTTATGCTTCTAATTGTAAAAGCTAATAATCAATGAGTCCTCGAATATGCGTTTCATAAAGAAAGTATGCAAATTTCTTTCTTTACGGCATTTGATAATACGGATTTTGTTATATTTGGGCAATGATTTTTATCCGGGAGGAATGAGACATTTCTCTTATTATGGAGACTTCGTTACGGTGTTCGCTTACTTGGCTTTGATACGATTTCGCACTGGCGAACGACGCGGCGGAACAATAAAGGTGGACGTAATGCAATCCCTGTGAACATTTGAAATGGAGAAGACTGCCAAGGAATTCTCAAATCAACGATTCGATCTAGCGCCCGTTGACATTGATACACGATACGGCGCATTGCATCCCGGAGCTTACACCGAAACACAGTCCAATGAGATGACAAAAGCGTCTTTTTGTTAAGCGCCTAAAATCGTGTATGTTTAAAATTGAGGACTGAACTCGTATTGTTAAAAAAATATTCTTAATTCTTTACTTTTGTCTTACTTGTTTCTGTTTTTATTAATAAACTGACAGATAATTCGAATATTATTTCTTACCAAATATTTCTGTGTTTTGCCCCATAATATTTCGTAATTTACCTCATTCTACATAACATTTCGGCAATCTTTCTTTTATGAGTGTCTTTTCATACATTAATTTTTTTGAATTTTTGAAAACGCCAGATTATCTGTCATCAAATTATATAATGACAAATAACAAGATAATATTATTCTTTTACTTTGACTATTAATTTTTAAAATTTAGACAATATCTTACAATTTCAAAAGAAATAAGCGAACTGTTAATCTTGCTGGTCTATTTAAGTTTACTATAATTTTTATAATCATTTAGATTAATATGATTAAAAAGCTTTAAAAAATAAAAAATAAATTTTCACAAAAAAAGGATTTTATCTAAGAAAAAGTTTTTAAATAAAACATTAGTAAAAAATAAATTACATTTTGGGTCAAATAGAACAGCAGAATTGAAGCAGATTTTTACTTTTTGTCACATATTTAGATTTTGATATTACTTTTAATTATTTCTTGAACACAATAATTGAAAAGTTAGCACAGTGACAATAATTATTGCTAACAACGTCGGGGCGATGATCTGCTTGCAGTCGGAGAACGAGGCGCTCCAGAAGGGTGACATAATCAAGAAAATTGACGATTACGACGCGCGTGATGTGAGGCATGTAGACGCACAGAATCTTCTCCAAAACTCCGAAACCATAAAGCTAGTTATCGAAAGGTCTGAGCCATCGAGAGTATCATCACGTACAAGCACCGACACTACCATCACCACGTCATCATCACCACCCACTTTCAGGCCGATCGTTGGCAACGGGGCTGCGGCCACTAGTCTGTCAGAATGCAATATTATTTCTATTATACGCGTTTTTTTTTCACAATTCTGCCACAGCAATGACACCGCATTGCCGCCGCAATATCGCAACACGCCATTGATTAATTCCCCTTTTCGATTAATCAGTTTCTCTCTTTGCACAAAGCACGACTGACATTTTTGGCCGCTGCTTTGGAACTTCTACTCCATTTACTTTTGCACCTCGGCGATCGTTTTTAACCGATAAAGGACTTCAATTTACGTTTGAAAAATGTTTAGCCGAAATGGTTTTTATGATGTATAAAAATATTAAATAGACATTTATTAAACAAATTAATATTAATATAAATTCAGGCAAATAAAAGCTAGAACACAGTTATTATTTGTCTTGCTCTCTCTCTCTCTCTCTCTCTCTCTCT